TTTTTAAACTTTTGCAACCAGAAGCTGCTCTTCATATTAGTGACAAACAATAACAGTAACAACATAAAGTTACATTAAAAATATTTAAAAATAAACTACAAAAATAATTTCATGAAGTGCAAATTAAAATATAGTTGTATCTGCAACTGTTTTTGACAATGTTTTGAACTTTTAAAATATTGCATGGTAGAACCAGAAGCTGCTCTTCATATTAGTGACAAACTGGCATTTTGTAATGGGTTACCTTTATTTTTGCTTCTACCTTTCATTTAAAGGGGACCTATTATGCAAAATTCACTTTTTAAAGTTTTTTTTTTACTCAACTTTGGGTATGTACTTCTTAAACAGTCCTAGGACCACAAAAATGCACCCAGGGGCATATTTACTGTAAATAAATGTATTTTTAATGTATATTAACGACAAGTTTTATACTTCCGTTATTTTGTGATGTCACAAGCTTTACGACAACCCACCAGAACCTGTGTTCAGCCCCTTACCTAGCAACCCCCAGGTGAAGCTCCACCTCCTCAGTATAAAAAGCYGTCACYGTGTTGTTGTGTAATGTGTAGCTCAGTTCACAACAAGCCTCCAATAGGGCAATGGGTAGAGTGTTGGACCAGAGAGCGGGAGACCAGGGTTTGAGACTAGCATGGACACAATTTAATTATTTATTTATTTTCGTTCGTTATGAACACATTTTCTCATGTACCTCTATTGTTTAGCTTATTAAAGCCTTGTTAAAGCCTATTTGTTTGAGTTTCTGAGGTATTTTGACCGCTGCTGCTCCCTGCTCTGGTAACAGCATGCAGAGTGAGCGCAGAGCAGAGGAGGTAGAGAAAAAAAAAGAAGCTGTGACCACAACTCTGCCTCTGGGTCTCATATGGTTGGACAACAGAGCTTCTGCTATTATTAGCCATGCTAATGTAAACGCTGGCTTTGGAGGGCGGAGTTAATRTCAACAGATTTTTGGAGGGCGTTACCAACAGAGCTCATTAACATAAACAGCTCTTCTGAACAGAAGTCAGAGCAGCAGAACTAGAAAATGGGAAATTTTATTATCTGAGAATTATTTTGTGCATTAAATTTAATGAACATGGTCTGGATAGCCCACAGACATACCATAAACATTTCTAGGACCCATAATTGGTCTCCTTTAAAATAGGTTTCTACTCTTGGCAGGTTTCTTTGGTTCTTCTTCTACGTATTAAAAAACGTTGTTAAACTTATGAGTGGCGCACGACCGCTACTAGTGTTGAGAAAGTGTATTACACCTTATTCAAAATCAGTAGGGTCCCGCTCCACGGCCCATGGGTTGAGAATCTCTGTACTAAAGTGTAGCAGAAACAATTTTTAGAAAAAGATCCAGAGCTTCACTAATAAAACCAAGAAATATTCACACAAATTATAAAAGATCCCTCAAATGTTTCTGTTGTTCTGTTCAGGTGGAGGACCCAGCTATGCGCTGGCAAATGGCTCTTTATAAGGAGATGTCAGGAAAGGCCGAAGATGCTGAAGACCCAGAGAAGGTGGTGAAAAGGGTCCAGGAAGTGTCGGCGGTTCTTTACCACATCGAGGTGGTGAGTGTTCAAACAGTCCGAGCAGCTCCTGCAGGTGCATGAGAGCTGAGCAAGAAGCTGAAATGTAAACATTCATGTTGTTTGTTTCAGACTGAGCATCCATTCAAATCAAAGAAAATGGTTTGGCACAAGCTGCTGTCCAAACAGCGCCGCCGGGCGGTGGTGGCCTGTTTCAGGATGACGCCGCTCTACAACATCCCAACGTAAAGATCTTCATCCCGAGACGGTCGGGCGTTGGACGAGGCGCTGAACGTTATTTATGTTTGTTTACAGGCACAGAGCCATCAACATGTTCCTGGACGCCTACAAGAGGAACTGGTTAGAAACTGAGGGCTACTCGTTTGAGGACAAGATGATTGACGACCTGTCAGTAAGTTACCTCTCACTGAAGGTAGAAGCAGGAAAATGTCTCATTTGACAAGTAAACAGATTTTATCTTATTTACAGTAATGTGGATGTGGTGTTCTGAGCAGAACTGAAGCTAATTAACAGTTGAAAATTAAAATAAGCTTATGAAGCCTTATGAAGCCGATGTAATCACTGTTATTTATTGAATTGGTTAGCAGATATTAGCTTCTGTAGCATATTGTTGTACAGAATGTAAGCTATGCTGCAATTTAACACAAATTATTAAATATTACAAGCTGGTTTTGCCTCTAATTTATGTAGAAAATTCACGGTTCGGTTCGGTTCGATACTTTTCGATACAAAAAAAGGAGAAATTTCCATGCCCTTATTATCT